TGATGTGTGCTTCGTTCAGTTACGTATTGCTGTTATTTTTTGTTGAGAAGCCTAAATAAAATATACAAACAACAACCTCTCGAGATCACCTAACTACAACAACCTGTGTATCCAATTTAAACTGGTCTTTTGGGGTTCAGAGCTTATAAGCTAGTCTGTGGATTTGTAATTACGATTGCGAGAAAAGAGAAGAGGCCCCTGATTCACCTTCCTCTGTCATAACCTAAACCTGGATAAAAGGAGGTCAGGGAGAGGTCGCGTATGTGTGTCCTAACTCATAGAATATCTTACTGAGAAAGGGAACATGGACAGGATGAGCTTTATAGCATTAGGGCCTGACTCTTAGAGGTTCCATAATAAAATTATGTACACAGTCAAGAACTATCTCTACTCTGGGTGATCGATGAATTTCAGAATGAACACTAGTGATTCCTGTTGTCTCGGTAGGGTTGTCAAAATCTTTCGTATGATTTGTTATATTTCTTCGGACATGATTTTGTTTAGATAGTTTTTTTTTTTTTTGGGGGTGATTTTTAGAGAACGTATTTCTTTCTTGAACAGGTAAAGCAATTAGTATAGTTTGACTTGTGGTGGTTATAAGTGTTGTTTTTGAACCTTCTATTTGAGTGACTAGTTTAAGGATTTATTGTTATTATGATTTTCTAATAAGGAGAATATTTTTTATTCATGTTACTTTTTCATCTCGATGAGTAAACCACATGACAGTGATTTTGTTTTTGTCTACTTTGACTTACAGGAGACTTAATTAGTAATTTTTCAGTAAGCGTTTTAGTCAGTCAGCCAATCAGTGAATTAAAAATTCTGTGAGTCAGTTGATGAGTCAGTTAAATGCGAGTTGGTCTGTAAGTCAAAGAGTTAGGAACTGAGATGGTCTGTTAGTGAGTCAGATAGCGATTGAGATCAGTCAATCATTATTCATAGGATGTAATTGGAGTCAAACCAAAGCATGATTTAATTGAATAACATGGTCAAAAATAATGAATAGAAAGTTGATTGAGAGTGATTATTATTGTGAGTGAGTGAGTGGTGAGTGAGTGATTTATTAAGGTTAACCTCTGACTCCTCGACCTCCACATCAATGACTCCAAGGCCAAGTTATAACTCAGTACTTCCTCTCAAACATGCACAGATAATAGATATTTAATAAGTTTCACCTGTCCATTGTAGCTCGTGATTTGTTCTGAAATATTTTAGGTAGAACGATTATATAACATAGTCTATAAGATGTTTAATGAGCCAAGGAATTTAATTTATTTTTTCAATTATACTTTTATCTTATTTTATTTTGTTATCCGTTTTGTCTTCTGATTTGGGTTTCTTCCTGTTACGGCTCGTGACATTCTTACGTAAATTGACCATAAATGTTGTGTATAATCCAAAATGAAAAAAATTATTGTTTCCCAAAGCGATCCTTGACGATGGAAAAACGGATTCAACCCTCTTGACCATTTCCGTTCTGGGGCAGATATAAAGCCGACGAACGCCAACCTCTCCTCACTCATCCACTCCCTCCAGACAGTTTGGCACCAAGAGTCGACAACTTACCTTCAGTGGCTAAACGTCCAACGAAGACATTATTGTAAAGCTTTTACTTAGAGTGTCAGCTTTAAGACTTCCTTCACCAGCAACAACTAAACGTGTGATTATGAAGTATTGGTGGAGTGTGTTGCTGTTCCTCGGGCTGAGTGTGACTTCAAAGGCTGACGTGGGGGCAGACTATCCTGCCAGATGTGATCGTGGAGACCCAAATGATGTAAAAGTAGAAGCCCATGTTTTTCAGTAATAAGTCGATCAAGTTACAAAAGTGTTATGGCAGTTGTATATATCATTTGTCGAGTGTAATTATTAACTAGTACTGTAGTTAGTCCTTCAAGACCTTCAGCGCACTAATATATTACAACTTTAACATGACAGGTTGTGGTGTGTCTTATGCTTGACTGAATTTTCTTTACAAAGTTTTATATTTTTTTTACTCACTTGTGAACTTTCGTATTCCATAAACTTGTCTCTGCGGGCTGTATAGGTACGCCAGGCGCTGTTAGTGTTCGTGCTGGCATTGTTGACTCACCCTACAGGTTGTGTGGTCATTAGATATAGGTGAAACAAGGTGATGACAATGATTCTGGTGATTACGTTAAGAGTGATGATCTGTACAAAGTAAAAGCGTATTCAGTGTGTAAACTCATCACCAACACCTCTTAAGTTTACTGTTATGATGACTCAGCACCGGTGACTCGTGACATTCAGTACTCAGGGTGACAACGACGCCAACATATCATCATAATTATACAGTAGAGTCAGTGCCTCTTCTCTAACTTCTCTTCAAATAAAGTTTCCTGCAGACATCTCTCAGGCGGCGTAAAATTTAAACTTTGGTTATTTATCTTTCAGCCAAGTAATGACATCATGGGAGAACCCATCTCAGGAGGAGGAGAAGGCGAGCCTGTCCCAAGGTGACGGAGAAGCTAGGCCCCAAGAAGACCCCATTACTCGCTCAGGATTCTTCCAGGGCGACATCATGATTCGCTCAGGACGAACTCTATCAGATCATCGAGGTAATTCATCCATCTGTCCTTATACCACCATTAACATTGCTGCTGTTGATTATAATGGCACAGGTGTAGTGACTGCCTATAGTAGTGTGTGTGTGTAAGCTCCCCATTAACGTGTGTTGTACCTCCTACAGGGTGACCCTCTGGGGCAGATGAGTGCCGTCAGAACCCACAAGAGAACTTGGCCTGACGCAGATATCCCATACGTTATCTCCTCGTCCTTCAGTAAGTACCTCCCTACCCTTTACTCTCAGTCATCTATCAGTTTATTATTTATTTTATAGACCGATGTGTCAAAGTGTTTGTCTTTGTAAAGTTTGTACAGAATAATTATATATAAACTTTCTGAATTATCTCACTTCAATGACGATCATTATTCGGTATGATAAATAAGATGAATAACTTGTAGTATTGCCTTAATAATTGTCTCTATTATGATGAAACAAGACACAGTTTGATGCTATTGGTTCCTGTTAGACACAACTGACTCTAGTTTGTGTCTCTTTATGACAGCGTCGGAGGTCGACCATCGCCCGAGCCTCATGAAAGAGTACCACCAACGGACCTGTGTCACCTTTGTCCCCAAAACCACACACAGCGACTACGTTCACATTCTCAAAGGACAAGGGTGAGTACCGTGCACAGTACCTTGAATGTCGTGCACTACACCCATACTGTGCACCTCACCGCCACTGTGCACCTCACCATACTGTGCACCCCCCCTGCACTCACCATACTGTGCACCTCACCATACTGTGCACCTCACCAAACTGTGCACTACACCATACCATGCTCTTGTATACCATAGTGAAGAACCATCTATATGGTTCTCTTATCATCGTAGCTGGATCTTATAACTGACCCACATCGGGGCCTGGGTGGAAGTGTAATAATAATAATAATAATAATAATAATAATAATAATAATAATAATAATAATAATAATAATAATAATAAATAATAATAATATAATAATAATAATATAATAATAATAATAATAATAT